CTCTCTCTCTCTCTCTCTCTCTCTCTCTCTCTCTCTCTCTCTCTCTCCCCTGGCAGTGCTGACTCTCCCTCTTCCTCTCTGCCTGGCCACTGGCTGCAGCCAGCTCCCCTCATATATCACCAGTCTGCTGGGAGGGATGGGACTTCTTCATCTCCTCCGGCTCTGCCAGGCTGGCCGCACGGGGCCGGGGAGAGGAGACTGGAGGAGAAACGGGCCGGCGGGAGAGATGGGGGGGGAGGGAACCATGGAAAGAGCAGAGGCGGCGAGAGAAGGCGGTGATCGGGGGGTTCGGCAGCGGCGTAGCCGCGTGGGCGCAGGACAGCGGGACGGGCACCAGGTGGGGGGGGTGGGGGTCTGTGGCGGCACGTCCGCCGGCCCCCCCCACTCCCCGTCGATAAAAGTTAATTTCCTCCTGTCGGGGCCGTGATGGGGATAGAACGAGGCAGTGAACGAGCCGCGGGGTGGACTGGCCACCCAGCACACTCGGTGAGAGAGCTGCTGACGGGCGCGCGCTCCGAGAGGACAGACGGGCGAGAGAGACGCGGGGAAGGAGGAGGAGGGAGGGACAGAGAGGAGGAGGGAAAGCAGATCGCAGTGCTGTGTGCGGGTTCATACAGTACCGGCGCAGGAGCGCTTCTGCGCGTGCAGGGCCATAGGAGAGCAAGCAGGTCCCTGCCATTGGGTTCTTGAGCAGAAGGACATGGCGCAGAGCTCTTTCAGTGCCCCCTGACCCCCACTCCAGCGCTCAGGTGTACCGTACTCCTGGCTCAATGGGCCAGAGTGTAACACCCTGCAGAGGCATCATGTAGGACTGAGTCACCGAAGATCTGAGCGGGGGCATTAGGGAGGGCTACTACCCCCTGCCCTGAAACACTGATAAAGAGACCCCAGGGGTCTGCAGTCCAACCTGATCTCAGCGAGCGTGGTTTTAGTGTTGGCGGGGGTGAGAGAATGCTTTTTAACACCTCAGCCGTAAAGAATTTCGATGCACATGGAAAAAAAAGATTAATCCTGCCTTCTATTTTCAACCTGCTTTATCCAGGACAGGTCTGTGGGAGAGCTGGAGTCTATCCTGCCAGGATGTGGCCAAGTGTGGCAGGGCTGGATAAACCCTGAACAGGACACCAGTCCATCACAGATCACCCACAGACACACACACACACTCACTCCATTAGCCTAATAATCTACCGATCTGTTTGTGGACTGTGGGAGGAAACCATGAGAACATACAAGCTCCACACAGATAGCTTCTGCCCATTAGGTGTGATATTCAAATTATGTGCTGACTGCTTGACCATTGAAGATCCCCTGGCACTGTTCATTAGAGTAGAGAAGTTAACCCTGGCTCAATACCACTTTGGGCTGGTACAGCCCGTCCTACGTGAAGTTTCCCCTTCATTCAAGTGGTTAAGTTAAGTAGTTTCTCACTTGTCCATGTGGGGCTACTGGTGTGGAACAGCTGTCCTGTGACACCAAGGAGTGGTGGACGAATTTAGGATGCACTTCCTGTATGTGAAGTGCTTGGAAAAATCTTTTTAAAAAAGAACAGCAGTAGACAAAGGCAATGAAATATTTTTTGAAAGAATTGAACAGGTGAGCAACAGACGTTCATTTGCTATGCTCTCCTGCCATCTGGTGGCAGAGAATTGCAGTTACATGCACATCAACTAGACACGAGTTTGTGCGTGCTGCGTCTTGGGATGTTTGTGCAGGAGCTACATTGACGAATATCTGTCCACTCTGGGGCAAGGTCTTACATATGTGTCTGTATCTGTGTGCTGTCTTGTTTGAAACCTTTAGCGTTATTTTCAGATGGTGCACTACACCATCTGCAGTAAACGTGCATTTACAAGCTCAGATGACATTACATATACAAGTATTAAAAGGAATTTACATTCCTCTCATTTTGTGTTACTGTCAACATTTTGTCTGTGTGATCTAAATGATAAAATCAGTTCTCTATTTTTGGCATCTAGTTTTTAATAATTTAATACGAGAGGTGCAGGATTTTTTAATATGCAAAAATGTCAGAAATGGCTGAAATACAAGCAGGTGATAGATGTGGTTAATGTGTCTCTCTCTGTGTTTCTCTTCTCTCCTCTCTTTCTGCCTCAGTCCTCTCTCCTGGTCTTCCTCTGCCCTCTCCCTGCCTATCTCTTCAGTCTGCTTTCCTCTGCTCTCTCTGTCCATCCTTTCCTCTTCCTCTCTCCCTCCCTCAGTCATCCTCCTCCTCCTCCTCCTCTCCCTCCATCTCCTCGGTCTCCTCCTGGGCAGCCCTCTGCTCCTCCAGGGCTGCCTTCAGGGCCTGCTCTTCCTCCAGGCTGGGGTCCGTGGCCTCCGTCACCTCTGGGCCGCTGGGGTACTCCCGCTGGGGGGCAGCTGGCACAGGGGGGGTGTAGCCGTCGCCCACGAACTTCAGACCCCAGCCGATGTAGATGTTCTCGAACTTCCTGCACAGAGAGCGTGTGAGAATGAGCCATCCTTGTAGCCACTTTACTGTCGCTCCCTTCTGGTTCCTCTGAGTTTCCATCTCCTTGTCAGTCTCATCCCATTCTTCCCTCCCTTCTCCCCTCATTCTCTCTCTTCCCCCTGCTTTCCTCTCTTTCCCTCTCCCTACCATTCCCACTCAATCCTCTCTCCCACTTCCCTCCTGTTCCTCCACATTTCCCCAAACCCTCTCGTGCCTCCTCTCTTCCCCTCTCTCTCTCTGCCCTCTCTCTCTCCTTCTCCTGCTCTCCCCCTCGCTCCCTCTCTCTCTCCCCCTCGCTCCCTCTCTCTCTCCCCCACGCTCCCTCTCTTTCTCCTGCTCCCTCTCTCCCCCTCGCTCCCCCCCTCTCCTTCTCCCCCTCGCTCCCCCCCTCTCCCTCTCTCTCCCCTTCTCCTTGCTTACTTCCCGGTGGCGAAGGCATACGCTCCTGGCCAGAGGTTGGAGCGCAGCACGGCGATGGCGTATTGGGAGATCAGAGAGGAGGAGACCTTGGAGCTCCAGGGAGGGGTGTTACTGATCTCTGAAACACACAGAAACACTGAGGGCTCAGAGCACATGTAATAATAATATTTCCTCACACTTGGATGATGTGATGGCAGCCATAGTCCATCAGTACTCTCCCCACACACCAGCTCTCAGTGGGAGGAGAGCAGAGTGATGAAGCCAGTTCAGAGATGGGGATTATTAGGAGGCCATGATTGGTAAGGGCCAATGGGAAATTTGGCCAGGACACGGGGTTACACCTCTACTCTTTTCAAGAAAGGCCCTGGGATTTTTAATGACCACAGAGAGTCAGGACCTCAGTTTTACATCTCATCTGAAGCATGGCGCCTGTTTACAGTACAGTGTTCCTGTCACTATACTGGGGACTTAGGACCCACATGGACTGCAGGGTGAGCACCCCCTACTGGCCCCACTAACACATCTTCCAGCAGCAACCTTAGCTTTCCCAGGAAGTCTCCCATCCAGGTACTGACCAGGCTCACACCTGCTGAGCTTCAGTGGGTATCAACAGGTGTCTGAGCAGAGACTGTCCGTGTGAAGCTGGGGATCAACTGACCTGCGTCCTCGGATAATGGGGTGAGCAGAGGAGGCCCCACCTCTGGCTCTGGCTCGTCTGGCTCTTCCTCCTTCTCCTCTTCCTCCCCTTCCTCCTCGAAATCCTCCTCTCGCTTCTGGGCCAAGTTCACCCACACACAGCGCCCCTGAGAGAGAGGTTGTAAGTGTGTGTACCCAGATAACGTGTGTCAGTCTGAACAGTAGACAGTGTGTCAGTGTAGTACCTGGGGCCGGATGTGCTGGGTATGGTGTACCAGTGGACAGTGTGTCAGTGTGGTACCTGGGGCAGGATGTGCTGGGTATGGTGTACC